AGAAAAAAATAGTAATTGCAGCGGAATCTCCATTCATGGAGGATAAAAATGCTCTGATACCATATTAGAAGGTAAAAGAGAGTAAAGAGAAAATATTGATTTCATTGATTGTGGTAATTGATTTGTACAACGAGTGAGCTCTTATATAGAAGAGCATAACAGAAAAGAGAGATCTAGAATATCATTAAAATACCAAACTACCCTTATACCTAATATCTAATACTCCCCCTCAAGATGGAGAGTGAACAAAGAGAACTTCCATCTTGAACAAGAAAAATCAAGAAAACATAGTAACCAAATAACATGAGCATCAGCCAGTAAAGAAACAGTGCTGGAATGGACATCAGCTAAAATGTGCTGGGATGGACATCAGCAAAGGAAGGAAGGGCTGGGATGGACATCAGCAACCTTGATATGAACTGCCAGGATGGACATCGGCAAAATCAACTGTTCTGAAATGAACTGCAGCAACATGATCAATGCTCCCCCTGAATAGGAAGCCAAAATAAAGCCAAAACAATGGCAGAAATAAACCAAATACAAGCCAAATCAGACTTGAATAACACCACAAATATATGTGGGAATAAAATCTAAGTGGCCAAATACAAGCCAGAAATATAAAAGTAAAACCAAATAAACCAAGTAAAACCAAATAAAAAACAAACAAACCATAATCGAGAAACAGTAGTTGAATGACCAAAATAAAAAAATAAAATAAAATGACGAAGGTATGCCCAAACAGTCGTTGAATGACGAGAAGCCCAAGACACACCAGACATGAACTCTTAAAAAAAATGGAGAGGAAGGAGAGCGTAGATCGGGTTGAGATTGATAACACTCAGATCTGGAAGAAAAACATGTCCAAATCAAAAAAGACACAGATCTGGATGAAAACTCGACATACCTGAAAAATACTATGACAGATCTGAAAAGGTCACCGGAGAAGATGATCGAAACAGTGACATAAAGAAACTTAGTTAAGAAAAACAGTGAAAGAAAAACGAAAAACACACAATGACAGCAGCGGAACAGAAAATCTGATGATAGACATAAACTCCTAAAAAAAAAGTCAAGGAGTCAAGGAGAGGAAGGAGAACACAAATAGCGATTCAATCTGGAAAAAGAAAAACTGGTGATACTTCAGAATGCAGATCTGGAACTAAAACATGCTTGAAAACGGAGAGGAAGATCGATGAAGAAAAAAAAATAAAATGGACATAGAAAAATAAAGGAGAAAGAGTAGCTCTGATGATAAAAATAAAATTCCCAGATAGGGATCAGATCCAGAAGAAAGAAAACAAAGAGAAAAAAATAGTAATTGCAGCGGAATCTCCATTCATGGAGGATAAAAATGCTCTGATACCATATTAGAAGGTAAAAGAGAGTAAAGAGAAAATATTGATTTCATTGATTGTGGTAATTGATTTGTACAACGAGTGAGCTCTTATATAGAAGAGCATAACAGAAAAGAGAGATCTAGAATATCATTAAAATACCAAACTACCCTTATACCTAATATCTAATAAACACTGCGTCAACTTCGGAGTTCCTTTCACAAGCAAATGGATTTTCTGTGAATGGATGAAAGGTAAGGCACGGAGGATAGAGGGTTATTTTTGTCCAATAATCCAGTCAATATTTTCCCATTTAGCAGGAATCATGAAATAACACATATTCAAGGGGAATCTGACTTGGGAACATCATGTGTTAAAATAATGGGAAATACAAGTCTCATGTTGCATGAGACTTACTATCTTATGCCATAGACTCAAAATATGTGGACCTACTCTTTAAAAAAAAAGTAAAAAAATAAATAAAAGCTAGCACGACTTTTGATGTATGAGTAGGAGGAGTATGTTATCTCATGTAACATGAGAAAAACATACCCCTAAAATAATTTCTGGGAACCCACATTTTTCAGGACCAATTTAAGACACCCTTCTACCAAACATGGGATTTTCGGGTTCCCATGGTCACTTTCTAGGAAAAAAAATTTATTCTCTCGTACCAAACACCCCCTTAAAAACATTCAATTTGGAATTCTTGATGTGTTTTTTTCTCCAGGATTACCACCTCACGATAATATTGTACCCATGAATGACGAGTATAAAATGCCTTTTTACTATATATAAAAGTCAGTCTTCTATTAATCTTAATTTCAACGTAATAAAAGAAAAAAAAAATTCTGAGTTCCGTTAGATATGTTTCGAACAACAGCCTATATGGAACAGGGACTTAGATGGAAGACTGAAAGACAGAAATTCCAGCCATGCCAAATTTTTCTTTGCCTGTCTGCCATTGACCACGCCATGCACTTTATTCATTGGGCGAATAATGAGCATGGATTATTTGCAATTGCAATGCAGCTTGCACAATGATTTGAGTTGAGGGCCATTGCTACTCTGAAGTTAATGCATTCACTCTTCCATCTTAATCATACATTGTCAATCTTTTTCTGGTCAAAACAAATTGGACCACGTATTGAATGCCTCGGTCATACTACCAGCTATATGGATAAACAGTCATCAAATTAAATGCCAAATACATGAAAATCCCGCGCTATACAGATTAGTTGGCAAAATGAGAAGACAGAGTTGTCAATTATCATGTGGTTTGGTGAGGGTAATCGACTAGCGGACACAATGGCCTACTTGAGTGGAATGATTCTCCTTTGAATGTTCAGCACCTTCTCTTAACTTTTGTTAGGTAAGTATCTTTTTCTTGCTTTCTTTTACAGTTACGATATTATTTAAAAAAAAAAATTCTTCCCAAATTTTATATAGTTTTATCATAATTGTTTTTTCCCCCTTCACATACCTTTTTCGTTACCCCCAACGATTAAAATACTTCATAAGTAGTTCCTGTCCTGCACTTTTTGTATTGTGAAAGCATCATTTATCCTTCTCTTGCCTTTCCGCATCAAATGTTCTCGCATTAAATTTTGTACATCGTTTATACAAGCATTGTAATTTATCATGTATTAAAACAGTCAAATGCGATAAGTCTTTCTATTTTTCTTTTGACGTTATGAAATATATTTGATTTGAACTCACTATATGCAAGAGAGGAACTCAATTATTTAAAAGCCCAAAAGACCCTACGATGTAGTTTAAAAGGCAGACCATCTCGCTTTGGGGCATGAATCTGGTTAAGGTATTTGACTGCTAAACCAACATAACTTAACTTGAAAGGAACATCATTGTCGAAATCAGCAACTCAAGCTAGTTGGCCACCATCAATAATCAGTGAAAATGATGACAGTTCTTGCTTGCCACCACATTTATAGAATTTACTCCGAACATAGATTTGCTCACTAAAAAATAGCCTGAGAGAGGTCACCTGTCTCCACCAATCAACATGAATATCACCTCATAAAAGATGACGCTAAAACTCTATAAATACATATGCCATTGACCCATGTATGTTATTTAAAAACAAATATACATCCATTTTAGTAAAAATGAACTTTAAATATTTTGATACAAGTTATTTTAAGTCTTTAATATAATTTAATCAAATGAATTACTTGAATTTAAATTTTTTATTCTCTGATAATAAGGATAATAAAGTATTGGTCAGTTCAAAGAAGCCTATCCCTGCATAAAGTTGATCTAAATTAACATTTTACTGGCCTAAATTAAATGTAGCTTAATCTGGTCTGACCGAATTTAATTCGAGTTAATAAATTATTAGCTCAACTTAGTTGAGTGGTAAGTTATTAGACTTGACTTGCTGACCTGCATTTATCACATTTTAGTAACTTTAAAGAAAAGAAAATTTTAATGAATCTAGTAAACTAGTTGATTTTAGAATAAACATCCATTTTTTGTCTACGAAAGATAATTAAACATCACTTTTTTTTTGGGTAAAAGTTAAACATCACTTTAGTTTTTGAAAAGTATGCAACATCAGTTTAATTCCTCAACCATAGAAAATGTCATCAAAATTATCATTTTGTGCACAAATTGTAAGATTTGAAATTAGGAGGCCAATTTGATGTCACTATCAATCTTTTAAAGAATAAATTGATTTAACTTATATTTTAGGGACTGAAATAATATTAATACAATCTTTTAACAGCTAAAATAATAATTTACTTTTAATTTAATCATTTTGTAGACTTGTAAGAGAGAACAAAATAAAATTCAAGCATACCTTTTAGATTTACGCTGGTGCTCTCTTGAACTAAAAATTAAAAATTAAATTAAATGAAGAAATTTCATATACTTGTAATAATTTTTTAATAAAAATATATAAAGGTAAGAAAATTTTACTACTAAATATTTTTAGTATCAACTTACTATCAATCTAATATAATTATATATTATAGAAGTACATCAAAAGCTTCTTTTTTTCTCTTAGAATCTTTTCAAAAATTGTCTGTTGAAAAGTGAAATGCAACGATTGAAAAATGATAGTAAATTGATAATAAAAATATGTAGTAATAAAAATAGGAGCAGGTTATATTTACAAATTTTTACAAATTACACTAAGTACGATCGGTCATACTTTAATTATGTAGTGTACGATCGGTTGTAATTTACAAAAAAAAGTTTGTAAACGAATCTTATCCTGTAAAAATATCCTACCTTAAATATATATTATAATACTTTTAAAGGTTTAATAAATAATAAAAAATGATACAGCAGCACCGGAAAACATCCCCATATTAAATGGATGACATTTTCAAAGCAACAGTCCAATCCAAACCGGCCATTGACGCAAGTGCGACTCAATTGGAGAGAGAGAGAGAGAGAGAGAGAGGGGAGGGGACCAATTATTGCAACTTGCTTCTCACAATTCTCACTCAACAATAGATTAGAAACTTTCTAGACTTTCTATCTAATCCAGTTAAGTCCAGTAAAGTAAGTAGTAAAATGCAAAAACAATTTTTGTTAGAAACTAACTAAAAAGAAAGAAAGAAAGAAAGGAATAGAAAGTTCTGTTACGCATTTGCTGTCAAACAATCATATACCATTACCACCAGGTTAGGCCATAATGCCAGCTATGTGACTCTCATCGCCATATCTCTCTGTTGCTTCGCTTTCTGCTTTCTGCTTTCTGCTCTCTACTCTCTACACTACACTCACTGATTCTCTTTCAACCCTTCGCTCGTCGTATCCATCTATTCTTTTATTTCCTTCTTCTATTGTTATTATTATTATTATTTTTTATTTCAAAGATAATCTTGTCTTTGTTGCAACTTTATTGATGAGCTACCTAATTCCGATTTTGAGTTTTGTATTATTATTATTATTTTGTTTGTTATTTAAATCGTGTTTGTTAGTGTTTTGTGTTCTGCTTTTGCCCAAGCTTTTTGTTTTCGACTCCTGTTTCGGCATATACGCATCATTTTTTGTCGTTTTGTGTGCGTGATTCCGTGCCTAGTTGATTTGATTCACCCCCTCACGTTCCATGATTTTGCTGGCACCTAATTGAAGTTTCTGAAATTCTTCTTCTTCTCCTTTTTTGTTTTTTTTTGTTTTGTCGATTAGTGTTGTTTCATCTGTTCCCGATTGCGACCGTGTTTTCTATAAAGAAGCTTATTTATGAATGTTTAATTTCCGTGAAATTCTCTTGCACGCCTTCAACTCTAAGTGTAGTGTTTTATTGTTTACGAATAAATAGTGCACGCACGGTTCTTTACATTGGACTTAGTATTGATCTATGCTTTTCGGTAATTAATCGAAGTTGGTAAGAAGAGAGAAAGCATCCTTTGGTGATTTACAATGATTTCTCTACTTTTTTTGTTTGTTTTGTGGATAAAATAGCAAGTTCAGTGAAATGGTTATGCCTTGAGACTGCTTTCATTACCTTACTGCTCCCTTTTTTCGTTTCAGAATCAGATGAAGTGCCAGTAGTTGGTAATTGAACGGTTTTAGCATTTTCATCCCTGACCGTGTACTTGTGAGTTGTGATTAACCTTTCCCCTTTTTCTAGATAGTGAGAATTGAAGTATCAATTAGCAACTAGGTTGGTTGTAAAATTTAGAATGGTTGAATTTTTCTAGCCCCCATTTTTCCTTTCCAGGAGGCGAGTGGAGTGAGCTGAGGGAAACAAAAAGTTTAGTAGTGGCTTTCGCCAAATAGTTTTTGATCAATAGCTATGTGGTCCTCTCAGTGATGCAATGAGATTCCTTAGACAAGCTCAACAGCATTGTTGATCATTAAATACCTCGTATCACAATATAAGGTATTTTCATCACTCCAGTAGTTTGCATCATACTGTTTCTCTTTATATGGCGTTTACTGCTGTTATTTAATCCTCATAGCTTAATGGTTTTGATGATTTTGCACTGCAGAGATGGAAATTGCTCATATACAAATTGAATATCATGGACATTGTGTCAGTGGTTGATGCCTGTAGAAATGGACTTCATATTTGTGCTATTGTTATTGGGTTGCTTATGTTCTTTTGTGTTGCCTGATTCGCAAGGTACAGTCTTGTGTTTGTATGGCACTCAAGTAGGCTATGTAAAATTTAACTGCTGTACGTACATGCATTCATATTTTTATTCTGGGGATAAAACTCAGCTTCTCAAACTTCAATTTCGAATTCATTTCTGAGGAATACATAGATACATACAACTGTTATCAGCAGAGTCTAATGAATATCTCATTTTTTCCCCCATGATTGCTGTTGAAATATTATGGAAACATCTTCGCCTCTGGTTTTGTGAAGATCACAGTGTTTTTGGGCTCTTAGTCCTAGCTCTGGTAGGTGTGTAATGTTCCTGTTCATTTCAGGAGATGCACTATTTGCATTGAAGCTATCATTGAATGCTTCAGCTCAGCAGCTTACTGACTGGAACCAAAATCAAGTGAATCCTTGTACTTGGTCACGTGTTAGCTGTGACCTGAACTCCTCCTATGTTATTCAAGTGTAAGATATTCTCTATTAATTTTTTTATTTTAAATATTCGATCAGGAAGGAGAGCCTTGGCACAACAATTAGTGTTGTCGCCATGTGACCCGGAGGTCACAGGTTCGATTCATATAATCAGCCTCTTGCAAATACAAGGTAAGATTGCCTGCTACAGAGCCTTTCCTGGAGCCTGTGCAGAGCGGGAGTGGACCCTGCATAGAGAATGTTCATTTGATTTGCTGAAGATGTTGACATTCATTACCTTCATTGTTCGTAGGAAATTATCTATTCATATTATATATTTCGCACTAGTATATCTTGAGTTTGTGCATGCTGCGTAACTGTATAAATTATTTCATTCCAGTTCACTAGCATTTATGGGATTCGCGGGATTCTTGACTCCAAGAATTGGAGTTCTAAAATATCTTCAAACTCTGTAAGTATTTATATTACGAAATATCCACACAATCTGAGTCTAATCCATAGTATTAATAATATTTTTAGTATTCCACTCCCTCAATTTTATGATATAACTTCAGCTTGTTTGCTATTGAAAACCACTTGCTTACATTGTTCTTGCAACCCCCTTTTCGTCTTTCCTTTTTTTCTGTTTTATTGGAGAATATCGTCATTCTTGGATTGTTGCATTATAGTGTTATGATGTGAAATAATATATCTCTGTTATTTTGTATCACTTATTGTACGATTTAAGATTTTTGCAATTGAATATGCTATTTATTTTGCATCTTATGAGCTGTAGTTATTAAAGTTCATTTAGTCTATAGTGAATTTTGTGTGATTTCGACTCATTCTCATTGTTCATGAGTTCATTCTTGTTATATTGCAAATGTTCAATTTTTTATGGAGGAGGGGTTTGGTGTTACAGTAGTTCATGCTTTGGTTTCATTGCACATTTTTTCAGGAATTTTTTTTCTTTTAAATATTTACTATTAACAAAAAAGCAAGCAAGGTTTTAAGTATAACCATTAATGTATATGATGCTTTTATCATGCAGTTCTTTGCAAGGGAATGGCATCACTGGTGACATACCAAAAGAATTCGGAAACCTGACAAGCTTGGTCAGGTTGGATTTGGAAAACAACAGATTAACTGGTGAAATACCATCGTCCCTTGGTAATCTTACAAAGCTTCAATTCTTGTAAGTATGACGTTCTGTTTGCTATGTTTTACAGATATAAATGGCTCTTAGTATATATATATATATATATATATATTTTTTCTGCAATGTTTAAAAGTATCTGTTTTATTTTTTCCTGCAACCAGGACACTGAGTCAAAACAATCTCAGTGGGACTATTCCTGAATCACTTTCCAGTCTCCCTAGCTTGATCAATGTGTACGTGAAATAATGGTTTCTGGAAGTTTGCTGGTTACTTCTACGTATGTTTCATTAATTTAATATCTGATTAATTGTTCAAACTTCTCTTTTGCAGTTTGCTAGATTCAAATAATCTTAGTGGTCAAATTCCGGAACGGTTATTTGAAGTTCCTAAATACAAGTATGATGGTAACTTAGTATTTGATTGAACATTTAAAGCACCATTTAAACATGTCTTCATATCCCTGGACCCCAAGGACCATGTGGACCCGTGAAGTTGTCACATACATCCAAAGAGCCCAGATGTAGATTTCATTTGACAATTATTGTTACAGTTAAATGTAAAAGAATACGTTGTGTATTGATCTGTGTCAAGGAGTTACAATATATAGAGACCCTAATGGGCTTAAGTGTAAGGCCCAAACCTAATCCAAACCTAATCCTAATACAGTCAGAATACAGTCAGACTATTTACGGATAAGACAGAATCCAATCATATCTAATCAAATCTAATCATATCATATCTAATATTCTAACACTCCCCCTCAAGCTGGTGCGTATATATTATGAGCACCAAGCTTGTTACAAATGTATTCAACCCGAGGACCTCTAAGAGCTTTAGTGAAAACATCTGCTAGTTGATTAGACGAGTTGACAAAAGCTGTCTTGATTTCTCCTGACTGAATCTTTTCCCGAAAGAAGTGACAATCAATCTCTATATGTTTGGTCCTCTCATGAAAAACAGGATTAGAGGATATATGTAGCGCAGCTTGATTATCACAGATGAGTGTCATGGGTTGTTTCTGTTCACAAAGATGAAGCTCCTGAATCAACTGCTTTAACCAGATCAACTCACAGGTAGTATTTGCCATTGCACGATACTCAGCTTCTGCACTAGATCGGGAAACAACAGGTTGTTTCTTGCTTTTCCATGAGATTAAGTTTCCTCCGAAGAAGACACAATAACCAGAAGTAGAGCGTCTGTCCGAGGGTGATCCTGCCCAATCGGCATCTGAGTAACCACAAATTTCTGTATTTCCCTGATCCGAATACAACAAACCTTTTCCTGGTGCTCCTTTGATGTATCGGAGGATCCTCACAGCAGCATTCCAATGTGAATCACAAGGGGAATCAAGGAACTGACTGGCCGTACTGACAGCGAAAGAAATATCTGGCCTAGTCACAGTAAGATAATTGAGCTTCCCAATTAGCCTCCGATAACGTCCAGGATCAGATAACGGCTCCCCCTGTCCGGGTAATAACTTGACATTAGGATCCATAGGTGTATCAACTGGTTTACTCCCCAACATACCAGTTTCTTCTAGGATATCCAAGGCATATTTCCTTTGACAGATAGAAATGCCCTGTCTTGATTGCGCCACCTCAATTCCCAAGAAGTAACGCAGCTTCCCAAGGTCCTTTGTTTGAAATGTACTAAACAAATGCTGTTTTAACTGACGAATTCCGTCTTGATCACTTCCGGTGAGAATGATGTCGTCAACATAGACTAACAAATAGATACACTTCAGGAGATGTAATCCTATAAAACACAGAATGGTCAACTTTACTGCGGATTAAGCCAAACGCCTGAACAACAGAACTGAAACGACTGAACCATGCTCGAGGAGACTGCTTGAGACCATATAAGGATTTCCGAAGACGACACACCTTTCCAGACTCCCCCTGAGCAACAAAACCAGGTGGTTGCTCCATGTAAACTTCTTCTTGTAAATCACCATGAAGAAAGGCATTTTTGATGTCAAGTTGAAGGAGTGGCCAGTGACGAACAGCAGCAAGGGCAAGAAAGAGGCGGACTGACGCCATCTTAGCGACCGGAGAAAATGTATCGCTATAATCAAGGCCAAAGATTTGAGTAAAACCCTTGGCAACTAAACGTGCCTTGAGACGATCAATATGGCCATCAGGTCCAACTTTCACAGTAAAAACCCAGCGACAACCAACTATAGACTTCTCTGGAGGAGCAGAAACAAGGTCCCAAGTGCCATTGGAATGAAGTGCAGTCATCTCATCAAGCATTGCTTGGCGCCACCCTGGATGGGAAAGTGCTTCACCTGTGGTCTTAGGAATAGAAATAGAAGAAAGACTAGAAACAAAGGTGAAATGAGGTGAAGAAAGACGGTCATAACTCAAAAAGGTATAAAGAGGATAAGGGTTACGAGTAGTACGTGTACCTTTTCTTTGAGCAATGGGAAGAGTCTCTGATGAAGGATCCGGAGGGGAAGAAGCAACAGCAGTGGGCGATGAGTCAGCAAGAGTCGAGTCGACAGGAGGCACAGTTTTGCGACGCTGATAGGTGAGAAGTGGACGGTCCTCAGGTATAGAAGCAATAGGTTGCTCATCTGGAATAGAAGCACCTGCAGCTGGCAAAGACAAGTCAAGAAAAGGGACAGGAAGTACATGATCAACCTGTGACATCTGAGATGGGATAGAATTAAAGGGTTGTTGATCAAGAAAAGTGACATCAGCGGAAACTAAGTAACGCTTAAGGTCGGGAGAATAACAACGATAACCCTTTTGAAGACGAGAATAACCAAGAAAGATACACTGAAAGGCTTTGGATGTTAACTTATCCTTACCAGGAGTGAGATCATGAACAAAACAAGTACAACCAAAGACATGTGGAGTTAGAGGATAAAGAGGAACATCTGGAAGCAATAGATTATGAGGAATGTCATTGTGGAGCACAGATGAAGGCATGCGATTGATGAGAAAACAAGAGATGAGTACAGCATCTGCCCAGAAGTGAAGAGGAACCTGCATATGAATAAGAAGGGTACGGGCAGTTTCAATGAGATGTCTGTTTTTACGTTCAGCCACCCCATTTTGTTGTGGAGTGTGAGGACAAGTAGTTTGATGTAAAGTACCTTGTGTGGCCAAGAAATTAGAAAAATCAATAGAAACATATTCCTTAGCATTATCACTACGTAGAATACGAATAGAAACACCAAATTGAGTATGGATCTCAGTAGAAAACTTTTTATAAATGGAAAATAACTCAGAACGATTTTTCATTAAATAGGTCCAAGTGCAACGGGAAAAATCATCAATAAAGGTAACGAAATACCGAAAACCTAAGACAGACAAGGTACGACTTGGACCCCAGATATCTGAATGAACAAGAGAGAAAGGGGCATCAGCTCGTTTATTGACTCGACTGGCAAAAGAGGAGCGTGTATGCTTCCCTTGTTGACATGACACACAATCTAAAGACTGAAGACCGGACAAAAGAGGAACCATTTTCTGCAACTTTGAAAGACTTGGATGACCAAGGCGACTGTGGATAAGTTGTGGAGATTCTGTGAGAGAGCATGCTACTGAAGGACGAGGCACATCCAGATAATAAAGCCCCCGTGACTCACGACCCACTCCAATCATTTTCCCCGTACCCGGATCCTGCACAGAAACAGAATGGTTAGAGAAAGTAATGGTGCAAGTGAGGGAGTGGATCAACTTACTAATAGAAATTAAGTTATAAGGGATGCCAGGAATGTAATAGACAGATGTCAGGGCCAAGGTAGAGGTCGGGCGAGCTTGTCCAATCCCACAAACTGGGGCTTTGGTTCCATCCGCAAGGGTAAAAGACGGTAAATGATCAGAATAAGTAAGAGATGTAAAGAGTTCCTTATTACCACAGAGATGATCGGTAGCACCGGAGTCAAATATCCAAGTGCCAAGTGATGTAGAATGAGAAACACAAGCAACGGGATTACCAGTATAAGGCTGAGACTGAGGAGAAGCCTTCCTGAGAGGGGTTTGGAGTGCAGCACAGTCCGAACCTGAACCAAATGATGCTTTGTATGACTGAGCTATATTTGCAACAATAGAAGGAGAGTTAACCTCCGAGAGATCAGGAGATGCTGCTGCCATTTAAAGATAAAATATAAAAGCCGTAAACGAAGGCAAACGATATCCAATCAAGAAGAACCACGCGTCTAAGGTCAGACCCACAGAGAAACAATCACAGATCCAGGAAGGGGAGGAGAAGGCGAGCTTCTCTGTCCAAGACCGTCCGGAAAAAGCCGCCGGAATAGTGCTCACGCGCCAGCAGAAGGTGGCGCGTGAAGCCCACGCGCAGTGAAGACAGGTGGCGCGTGACGGCGCGTGGGAGATGCGTTGCTGACCGGACCACCACAAACCTGGTCGCCGGGAAGAAAGGGTCCTGATCGCGTGAAGCTTGGTCGGAAAAGTCGCCGGAAAAAGTCTCCGGTTGCCTGAACAGTGATGCTGACGGCGGGCGGTGGTTCCGGTGGCCGTCGGAGGTGCTGACGCGTTTGGAAAAATCACTCAGAGGCTGTTTACAGCCCTAGAAGGCTTGCCGGAAGGACGCACGGCAAGAAAGAGGACTCCTAAGCAGTGGGCTTAGGTTTTTAAAGCAAAAAAAACAAGGTTTCTGAGCGGAAGCGAGGGTTCCTAGAACGAAAGAGCTCTGATACCAAGTTAAATGTAAAAGAATACGTTGTGTATTGATCTGTGTCAAGGAGTTACAATATATAGAGACCCTAATGGGCTTAAGTGTAAGGCCCAAACCTAATCCAAACCTAATCCTAATACAGTCAGAATACAGTCAGACTATTTACGGATAAGACAGAATCCAATCATATCTAATCAAATCTGATCATATCATATCTAATATTCTAACAGTTACTAACGTATTCCAATCGAGCAGTAGTAGACAATTTTATTGGTCATCTCTGTTTCCACTTTTTTATTTCCATTTGAAAGACTGGCAATCATCATTCATCACATATATTGTTTCAACAAAAAAGTTTTAATTCTCGTAGCTTGACTACTTTCCATATAATTGTTACTTAAATATCGAATGGTAAGAGGCTAGAGAAGTGGCAGTTTTTCCCATGTCGTGGAAATAGGATTTGTTGGGTACAAACTCCTTTGTCTGATTAGTGCTGTCGAATCATGGTTGTTGAGGTGGATTTGTAGTCTCTATTAAGAAAGTGTAAAAGGAAATGGGGAAGTAATAAGGAACTGGTCATCCTAAAAGGCTTAGGCTTTTAGTTACTAGCCCAGAACTGGTATCTCTAACATGCTTTATCATGTGTAAGCTGTTTGAGCCTGAAGCATGGTTAAAGCATTTGCCCACCAAAACTTTCTGCCAAAAATTGATTTAAAATGAGAATGGAGGGGCACTGATGATTACACTCTCAACCACTTGGTCAAAGTGGATCCAATACCATATTAGGGAACTTAACGTTATGAAGGGGCGCAAGATACTAGTTGCTAGCTCAAAAATGGTTGTCTTCACTTCTCTAACATGAAGGTTGTCCTCAATGACTAGGTTTATCTGGTGAAGAACTTCGGGCCACGAATAGGAGCAATAACGATGAACGAAATGCTTCATTATATTGTTTGGTGATAGGTAAAAAAACAGAGGTTAAAGAAATATTCCAATCTGAAACAGCTTTTTTCCTCCTTTGATCAGGTGGGTCCCATTATAAAGAGAAGAGAGAAAAGAAATTTAATGGATCCACTCACTTTTATGCGAGTGTGGCAGGAAAAAAATTTCTGCAGCAAAAGCAGAAACATCTCTCTCTCTCTCTATATATATATATATGGGTTTTATTAATCTCATGTTAAAGGAGATAAGTTATCTCATGTCATAGAGATAAACGTGTGGCTCCACTACCTGAAAAAGGAAAAAAAAGAAAAAGAAAAAAGTGACACAGTTATCGAAAGGCGTGTAGGAGAGAAACTTGTCTCATATAACATGAGACTAGTTTTTCTATATATATATATAGATATGATAAGAACTTTCAATCCAACAGTAGATCTTGTGATATAATTATTCAATGATGTAAGAGTGATTTTGACTTATGCTCATGAAAAGTGATCCCTTCCCTGTATTATATATCATTACATTCCACTTTTTTAACTGTGCTCGTTATTGCAGTTTCACTGGAAATAAGTTGAATTGTGGTGTGAATTATCATCACCCTTGCGCAACTGATAATGCAGATCAAGGTTACTTGATTGGAATATTTTCTCGGTTCTGTTTTGTAATGTGTTGTTATCTATACCTCATTTCATTCCCTTCTCTTGGCTACAAGCGGAATACTAATTTTCCTACACTTCGCAGGTTCATCACATAAACCAAAAATTGGCCTCGTAGTTGGAATTATTATAGGGTTAGTCATTATCCTTTTCCTTGGTGGTCTGCTATTCTTTTGGTGCAAGGGTAGACACAAAGGCTACAAGCGTGAAGTTTTTGTAGATGTTGCAGGTTTGAGTTTCTTGTTTAGTCTGAATGTTCTTGTACGAGACTTCTCTCAAGTGAAATGTGGACACAAATGTTAATATGTTTGTGCTATAGCATTTTAAAATATTGATCTGGAAATTCTACATATGCATTCAGTTTCAAAATGATACAATAGTGTAAACTCACAAGTTAATATGATATTACACAAAGGCTTTATTATCCAAATTTTGGATCAATTTATATGTATGGTATATTGCTCAGCTCTTATGCATAATCAATGCATTGGAATTAATTCTACCCATGCATTCATTTTCAAAATGATCTAATACTGTGAACTCATGAATGAATATGGTATTACATATAAAGAATTATTATCCAAATTGTAAATGGGTTCATATGTATGGTATCTTGCTCAGGTCATTATGCATAATCAATGCATTGAAATTGCACTGTTTCTTGCTAACCAAAACCTCATATCCTCTATGATGGTCAACAGCATCTGACTGCTGTACTGTTTTTCCCATTCAGGGCATCTGATTAATTACTGCCATGTTGATTTTATTTAGTAGTTCTGGATCTTCTATTATCTCCTTTTTATTGCCATTGTGTTTTGCTCATGCTTTTCCCTCTTTTTGATGTCCTCATCTGGTGTGGCACTGTGGCCCACTGGATCTAATAGCTAGATGTTAGGTATTTAAAACGAATCTTAACCCTCACCTAATAACTTAAACTTTTGGGATAATTGGTTCTTTGAAGTTAAAACAACATATTGGAATATTCCCGTTTCCATTCCTTTAAACCTTTCATGTCCAATGAATGTGGGATATGATCAAATTTTGGAGTGATCTAACCTATTCTGTAATCTTCTAATTATGAAGCTTGTTGAAATATCGTGATAAAGGGGGCCGAACTGGAGCAGTGGTAAAGCTGTTCCTTCATGACTGAAAGATCATGGGTTCAAATTTAGGAAACAATCTCTTTGCAATTATGCAAGGATAAGGCTGCGTACAAGGATTGCTTCCACCCCACACTCGCTAGTCGGGTTTAATGAGGAGTGGTTTTTTTGTTGTTGTTGTTGAAATATCATGATAACTACACTGAATTGTGATTCATGTAAACTTTTTCCTTTTCAAAATTTGCTTGTGATAATATCTATTTTATCATTATTATTTTTTCTTGTTTCATCAGGTGAAGTTGACCGCCGAATTGCATTTGGTCAACTAAAAAGATTTGCATGGAGAGAACTACAGATAGCTACAGACAGCTTCAGTGAGAAAAATGTTCTAGGACAGGGAGGCTTTGGAAAGGTTTATAAAGGTGTTCTTACTGATAACACAAAAGTTGCTGTCAAAAGGTTAACTGATTATGAAAGTCCTGGGGGAGATGCAGCTTTCCAGCGTGAAGTTGAGATGATAAGTGTAGCTGTCCATAGGAACCTGTTACGGCTGATTGGTTTTTGTACTACTCCAACCGAGCGTCTCTTAGTTTATCCCTTCATGCAGAACTTAAGCGTTGCCTATCGTCTACGAGGTATTTAGTTACAATTCATATTGGCATTACAAGGTATTTAGTTACAATTCATATTGGCATCACTGGTAGGCTAAGTATTCAACTTGATTTGCTATTGTTGAGTATCACCACCGTGAAATTTCAGTCATATTATCATTTTAAACATTTCCAGAAGTTAATTGGATGAAAAAAGTATTCAAAGATTTAATCTAACATTTTAGGATATATACTAACAAATTTAAGATTTATCGAACACCTTAGAGCATTGTTCAGTTTGACCGGAGAACTAGTGAAGAGGTTGAATCAGATAATGTCTTAAATACATTTTTAATTTTATTGGATAAAATTTCTGTATTAATCTATACAAATTTAAATTTTATGTGATTATATATATAAATATAGGAAGAGAAACCTTGGCGCAACAATTGGTGTTTTCCCATGGACCCGAAAGTCACAGATTTGATTCATGTAATCAGCCTCTTATAAATGCGAGATAAGGCTGCTTATTATATACTTTCCCTAGACCATCCGCAAAGGGGGAACTTAATAGCACTGCCCTTTTTAATATATACAAATGTACATATATGCATGTATGTAAATTATTAGGAATGAAGAGTTCACGAGACACAGGAGAGAATAGCATCAAAGATTTAGAGAATCTTATTTTATTTTCCTTCAATTTAGTTATTTGTATAGTTTTAAACAATTGTAGTTCATGTAAACTGAAATCCACGAGCCATTGAGAAAGTTGACAACTCAACCCATATCTTTAGTTGACTGTTGACCCAATCAAGTCCTAATTTTGGTTTTGCAGAATCGGTTTTCAAAACCAGTCCAGTTCTCCTGTTTTTGCTGGTTTTTACTGATTTTGAGCAGTTGAAATGCTGGATTGTTTTACGGTTCAACTGGGTCTGGTTGGCCTTTTTAAAACACTTCAAAATTCTTTTGGTAGAAATTGTTATTTTGTCAGGCTGGGGAGTAAAACAAGATGGGAAAGTTGAATCAGATAATGTGTTTTCATCACTGGCACTGTCATCATGCAGGCTGTTACAATTTTAAATATTCAGCTTTATGCTACCTTTACATCCTAAAATCATAAAGTAACATTGATATTAAATGATTATAAAAATGTGTTACTATTACGGTATCTTTGTTTGATAGGTTTTGAGTTGTATTGTGGGAAGTAGATTGGATCTCTTGTCTGCTTGTAAAATTTAGCATTTTTCCTGTGAGATTTACAACGAGAATACTGATGCAGAACTCAAACCTGGGGAATCTGTTTTGGATTGGCCTACAAGAAAACGAGTGGCTCTGGGAACAGCCCGTGGCTTAGAATATCTTCACGAGCATTGCAATCCTAAAATTATTCATCGGGATGTGAAGGCAGCTAATGTATTACTAGATGAAGATTTTGAGGCAGTTGTTGGCGACTTTGGTTTGGCAAAGTTAGTTGATGTTCGAAAGACTAATGTGACAACTCAAGTTCGTGGGACAATGGGCCACATAGCTCCTGAATATTTGTCCACTGGAAAGTCTTCAGAAAGGACTGATGTTTTTGGTTACGGGATTATGCTTTTGGAGCTTGTTACAGGTCAACGGGCAATTGACTTTTCACGTTTGGAAGAGGAAGATGATGTGCTATTGCTTGACCATGTAAGACCTCTTTTTAATATCACGGCCTCCTTGTTTTCTACTGTGTCTTGGTGTTTGTTTCTTGTTTGTGTAGCATGCTTGGAACTTCTGAATGCTTCCTGGGTGTTTTGGTGATGTCAAACTTTGGCATTTAATCACATGGATAAAGATTGGATATTATGGGCGCTCCATCTAAAATGGGTATCCTAACCCACTTAGGCCAAACACATACAGTCAGGGAGTAGTGATTGTGATGAGCCAAGAGAAGTTCATATAGTTATAACTGTATCTCTGCTTTTATATCAAGCTGGAAATAAGTTGAAGTGTGTTGTTTATATTATGCTTTTTAGATTTTAGAGAACACATGCTTGTTTATGATGACCCTCTCCCTTTGTGTTCAGCTGTTCGTGTTTGTCATCTTCAAAAATCAAAATCTGTATCATCAGTTTATACTTATGTGTTACTGTTTTTGTTATATTTTTGTGTTTTATAGGTTAAGAAACTAGAACGGGAGAAAAAACTGGATGCTATTGTTGACCGCAACCTAAATAAGAATTACAACATACAAGAGGTAGAAATGATGATACAAGTTGCATTGCTCTGCACGCAAGCAACGCCAGAGGACCGTCCACTGATGTCCGAGGTTGTAAGAATGCTGGAAGGAGAAGGGTTGGCTGAACGGTGGGAGGAATGGCAGCATGTGGAGGTCAATCGGAGGCAAGAATACGAGAGATTACAAAGAAGATTTGACTGGGGAGAAGATTCGGTTTATAATCAAGATGCCATTGAATTGTCTGGTGGGAGATGATATCTATAAATTTGAACCATTTATGCTTCATGTTGTACCTCAATATCCTCTTCTTTTGATAGGTTAGCTTGAATAGAGATGTAAGTTTTATTGTATTCCAACCGTATAAAAGAAAAAGGGTTATTATTTTGATGAGAAGGTCCTGTGTACCTCAGCTACAGCACAAAAGTAGGCAACATTATTGTTCCAAATTCAATGTTTTTAGTGATTTTATTATCTTTTTTGTGAGTGGTTCCTTTTTTTTTTTTTTTTTTTTTTGCAAATCCATCATGAAAATTCATTAAACTTCTGTAGTCAATTTGGTATCCCCTTTGAATTGAGGAAGAAATTGAGGTGAGTTTTCATTTAATTTTTCTTATAATTTTCATTCATGAATTTCTTACACATTTTTAATAGGAGACCAAATTGGCCTATAATTTGCAGACTTCATAATCTAATCCTAATTGTAAAGTGTCTTAAAGGAAATCAACTAGTCTGATATTTGGATTCTTTTTGTTTTTGTTTTCTTTACATTCAGTGATTTACAGGAGAAATTGTTTTTCTTTCTTTTTCTCTTTCCTGATGGGTCTCACTCTTGGTTGGAGATTTCTTTCCGTTCAAGACCACTTGGTACTTGTGTTATATAGGGGGGGGGGGTGTTAAAATGAGTATTTTGATAAAAAAAACTGTTGAGATATTAGTCCCACATTGGTTGTATGAGCAACTAATGTAGAGTTTATAAGGTCTTAGGCACTCTCACTCTTTGAGCTAGTTTTTGGGGTGGTGTATTCCAAGATTCTGATACTAACTTGAAAAAGAGTATTCTGATATATTATAGAATTGTAAATAATCTGTACAAAAGATTCTGTATTTATAGAGAATAAAAGACCTAATACTTGACCTAATGGACTTGGTCCAATACAACAAATAAATTAATAAATAAGAAAATAACTATTATTTACAACAAAAACAGTAGGGATAAAATGGTTATTTAATGTGAGAGGGATCATGATTTGCTTAAATGGTCCTAGACCATTTAAAAATTTCGTTTTAGGTTGGGTGTGCAGAAGAAATTTTTTTTCTCCTTTTTGCTGGAGAGTAATATTGCCTATAATTTATACATATATACAAGAAGCATTACGTTAGAAAAATATATAAACTATTAATGGACATTCACTTAACAGTTTAAGTTTTTAGATTGAATTGGTTCTTTATATGGTATCAAAGCCTTGGTGTCACGTGTTCGATCCTCACCTTTTTCTCTTTCACTTGTAGAATTTCTTAGCACAGGTAGGCTGAGCTTGATGCATCATCCACTCTTCAAATTCAATGAGCTCTCGTATGAGAGAGCGTGTTAGAGAAGTATATAAATCATTGATGGGTCTTCACTTAATAGCTTAAGCTTATGGATTGATTTGGTTCTTTAAACATTATTTGCTTGGACGCTCCAAATTGAACAAATTCTTGGTTTCGTGGTTATTACCACGTGGGTTAAAACGCTTCTTTACCTTTTTAGGAAGAAAATAAACAATCAAATGATGGTAGCTTAGTTAGTTGGCGTCAGGAAACTGAGCAAGTGAAGATGAGAGCATATGTTCGATCCTCACCAATACCGTTTTATTTTTGGAAGGAGTTTAAAGTCTTAATTGCGAGACTCGCCCCAAATCGGACTAGTGTGTTGTGCGAATAGAGTTCCCAAATAGGGAGGAACCCGAGGCCAGTTTGTTTGTTGCTGATATCAGTTGCAGGATTTTTACCAGGTTAGTGCAAATATGTTGTAAAATTTATAAGATAGCTGCAGTGATACTTGCAATGAGATGATGACATACATAAAAAGTCGCAGCATTTACGGAAACGGAGTCATGGAAGCAAAACTAGCCAAAGATTAGAGTATCTGACCGAGACTAATGGTACTCATTCCTCCCAACTCCCTAGAGTAATAGATACAACGAGAAGAGAGAGATCTCCACCAGATTGGCGAAGTTCCCCGTTAAAAGTTATAATTATAGCATAGTAATGCATGCATAAATGTTAGGAAATCGACATGTTACTGTAAAAGATTTGGGTCCTCTTATTTTCTTTTGGAAAAAAGATATTTTCATAGACTATGTGACTGAGGTATGTGTACAATTTGTCTATGCGTTTCATTTCTCATCTGTGACATGAAATAGTGTCTTGTCTATTGTACATCCAAATCACATTTTTTCTCGACTTTAATTTAATGCCTACATTGAGCTCAACTTGAAGGTTCGAAGGAGACTTTAATTTTCTCGACTTTCATTTGTCTCCATTTCTAAAGAAGGATAGCTAGCTATCTACCTACCTAGTACCAGTACGCAGATTCTTTAGCTCTTTATTTAACAGAGAATTGTGGGTCGCAGATGATGATATGCATTATGCAGCACAATTGAGGGCCATCCTTGTTCATAATAAAACATGGCCCCTCTTGTGAATCTTCTCACTCCATATTTTTATTTCCTTAACAAGTACATAAGAATACTCTGTTAACAAATCTCTTTAAGTTTAATGAAAAAAGCAGAATTCTGAATGAGATTATTGTTAAATTATAAATGGGGCAAATCCTTATCCCAGTTGTTGTGAATGGAGCCAAACCCAAAATCATCCAAATCATCGAAGAACCCTTCAGGTAACCCATCGAAACAATCACTTTCATTCATCAACACTTCATGATCCACCGCCACTTGCTTCCCTTTCTCTTCAAGCGCAGGCAAATGCCCCTCGAACAGTGCCACGTGTCCAAACAACTTATCCTTCCTCGAAAACGTGGTTCCGCACGTGCACTTCCACGTGGACTCTCCCCGGCACTGCTTCGCGTGGCTCTTCAAGTCCGAAAGCATCGCAAAACTCTTCTTCCGACACCGATCACACGTGTGCGTTTTCGGGCAATGGCTTCTCTTGAAATGGTTCCTCAAACAAAACATCGACTTCAGAGGCCTGAACTTCTTGTGCACCTTGTTCCTGTTGCAACCTTCAAAGGGACAAGAAAACCACGTCCCTCTTAAGCGCGTTTCCCCGAAACGCTTCTTCTTCGACAACGCTTCGTGGGTCTTAATCTTAAACTCATCCCCGTGCGCCCGCATGTGCATTCGCAGGTTCATGTCGCGCTTAAACCCTTTCCCGCAAACCTCGCAGAAATGAAAGTCGTTCTCCAACAGCTCCACCGCGTCGAACTCCACAATTTCACAATGTTCCCTGTCGTCGTCGACAAGCTCGGCTTCTTTCGAATCCAACGTTGGCTTCTTTGAAGGAACGGTTTCCGAAAAAGGGTAGGGTGTTGTCGTGCAGGAGACAAGAGCGGCGCTGTTGATGATGAGGTGGCGAACGGCCGAGACAATCTCGTCGGAGACTATGGCCATGTGGTGGTTGGTGAGGAGAGTGTTGGTGTTGATGGATTGGGATATGAAGCGTTGCAGAGAATCCATTCGTGTGCTGAGTTGGGAGAGGTTTTGAAGGGGGACACGAAGATCCTCTGTGTCAAGTGTTGATTGCATAGTGTGTGTGTGTTTTGATTTTGAAGGGTAAGCTATAGATAGTTAGATACTGATTGATTCGAATTTTATGAGTAAAAATGATCCAAGAAACACCCCTTAAATATGGTAGTGAAAGTGTTGTCCAAATTTGACAATGTGAGGGTACGTTGTTTTTTTTTTTTTTTTTGGGGTAAATGATGCACGTGTTGTTCAGGCAAAGGTCATTTAACACAAACCCTGACCCTGAACCTGACCCTTCGCTTCTCCTGGAGTTGTAATTGTTAACATTGTCCCAATGTTCAGAGTAATCCCTCGCACATGGTTTGACTCTTCTGTCAATATCTATCATTGATCTTACTTTGATAGTTAAATTAAGACCACTAAATTAATCAGCTAAAAGTTACATATAACTTTGGTAAAAAAAAATAAAAAATAAAATAGTAATAGCAAGTTAACAACTTAATAAAGAGAGCGAATTTGAATCATGGTTCTATTTATTAAATTATAATATTCATTTAAAATATGATTCAATATTTTAATATATATTATTTATTCTTATATTTTTATATTTTTTTTTATAATTCTGTATATTAAAATTTAATTCCGTGTGCTTGTAAAACTTCATATTTGAATTGTTATTTCTTCTCTTTTTATTTCAATCATTCTACAGTGAAATTTTAAGTTTATAGCTTCAAATTTCATCAATAGATAATTTTGCTGGTATTTTTAATATGATATAAAGAAATAATGTTTTTCTTGTAATTTTTAGGTCCTCAAATTAGAATTTCCCTATTATTGTTTAATAATACAATGATGACAGTTTTCTGAAAATAAAAATACTTAAAAAATCTACTAATTAAATTGTACGAAAAAATAACGATTGAATTCACGACTAAACTTCTTCCACTCGACCAATACACATTGGAGAGTATCTCACCATTTATCAGGTTTTATCACTTACACATATTATTAACACATTAGGTGTGTTATATATTTGACATAAAAATTACAATGTTTCCCCTAGTAATATTGTTTATTAAAACTCTAACCTTTGTGCATATATTCAAATATAATTTAATCCTTTATAAATAAGATAATCGTTATAACTTCATACAATAAAAGGGCCAGAAGACATACATATAATAAGACAACGAAATTTATACAAATTTATGCTAACACAATGAATTTGTAGGTCAAGAGTTATAAATATCTTTTAGTGATTAATACTTTAAATTATAAATTTATTAAAATAATGAATAAGTATATAGTAAACTATTAAAATATATAATTAATGAATATTATATTTCATTATAGTGGAGTCAAGATTTAAAAGATTTCTCTTCATTATTTGAATTCCACTATTCCTTTCTCTCTCTTTTTTTACATGAATTTCAGTGTTCTTCCTCCTTATCAAAGTTATATTCATTTATTTAATTTCAGTGATCTTCCTCCTTATCAAAGTAATCTTATACTATTAGATTAAAGTGAAATCAATGATGAAAGATTGGTGCAAGAGTTTTTTACTCTTACGCTAGCGTTTATACATAGAATAATCGAAACCTTCCATAATATTCTGGCGGCTAGCAGTCATATCTGAATTTTAAACACGTTTTCTTCTTCTTTTTATTTATATTTTTCTTTTGCTTTCTGATTACTTTTGTTTTGAATTTGTGTTCAATTATCTCCAAAAATTGCCTAGTTAACCTAATATTCTTCCTTAACCAAAACGCCGCAAGAATTATAGCTGTTGGAATTGAATTTAACATTGTCGTAGCGTATTCATCAACAAATTCTTTGTATCTCAATTCTGAAACACCATAGATCAATCCATAGCTATCAGATACATGATACCATTCGTATGATACAATATAATTCATAAGCACAACGGTACATATCGTAGGGTGTATCAAAAAATGATTTGTATCGAATGATACGATACAATACATATTGTATATCATACAATACGAAAATTAAAATAAAATTTGTAATTTTTAATATAAAAAAAATAAAGATTTGATTAATAATTTAAATTAAAAAATCTAAAATATTATTATTAATAAGGAAAAGAAAATAAAAATTTAATTTGTGATTTAAACCCAAAAATCTATATTAATAAAAGAAATAATTAAATAAATATTTTAATATATTTTTTAAAATATTTTTTATTATGATTTCATCATGATACAAAAATTACATTAAACGATACACAATACATATTGCAATTCAATAACCTTGAATCAGTAAACTTGTCTGTCTAGCTGGAAAGACACCATCCATGCTTCATGCTTGCCGTATTTTGTCGTCATAAATAATCATCTAGCTGGAAACAAGCGATTTTTTTTTCTTTTTGTGGAAATTGAATATATAACATAATACAAAGTACAAACTACCCAAACCCTTAACCAATAGACTAATCCTAATAACTTAAAAAACGCTGTCTTTTATGGTATATTTAGTATGAGAGTTACTAATCTCAAGTTGTTTGAGATAGTTCTCTCATGTGTGTGAGATAATTATGTAGGATCCACACTTTAAAATAAAAGGAAAAAGAAATGAAAAAAACTAACACAAAATTCGATGAGTGTGAGATAGCTCTTTCCAACGAAATAAGAAAAATATTTCCCATTTAGTATACCAAATCATGATTTCTTAGAAACAGAAATAAATGACTATTTTCAATTCATAATTATCAAAATAAAAAATAAAAGTATTCAAGTGCTTTTAATTAACAGTTTAAGATTATTGAGAAATGTTATTAAAGCCTCATCTCCTACTCTTCCTAATATAAAAAAAATTGACATATAATTTATCTGCGTATTAAACTTAAGAACTTTAAGGAACCAAAATTCAGAAAAAACATTTACTAAGAGAATTCTTTTACTTTTTCTTTTTTAGATAATAGAATCTCTTAGTTGAAGCTCAAAAGGATTAACCTCATATTAATAATGGGAACACCTTACATTCTTTCACTCTCACACAGAGGTGGGATCCACATTTTTAAAACTTTTTCCCTCGACTCTCTCCTCCACGATTTATCTATTTCTCTCACTTAAAATGACATAACTTTATATCCTTTAAAATGATACATATTTTTTCCATTAATAATTGTAACTTATCTTAATCTAATGTTATTAAATCCGAGCTGATTATTGATTTGGCGGAAATAATGGGTCACAAATCAGGAACAGTGACCAATGTACCACACGTTGGCCACTTTTTTACCAATATGCCATGCGAACAGTAATATTTGCCAAATGCTACGCGTCCAAGTTCGCAAGTTCGCAAGAGCAGGCAAAGAACTTGGTTTGCTAATGTGGTTTATTTCTGATGGCCACCTAGTTCGCTACTGGGTGTGGCGAACTAGGTGGCAATTAATGATGCATTACAGACGCATTTGAGCCATCTTTCCCAGTTATAACTATATATATATAAGTAAAAGAATAGAGATCATGATTACAATTAAAGACAAGACTTGTTTGAACTTGAAGGGGGAAGGCCGATCACTATCTTTATCTCACAACTAAAGGTTTACATTAACTTAAAAGGGGGAAAGAGAAACAAAAATGAACAAATATAACAGAGTATGATATTTTCAACAATTCACTGTTCTGACAATGATTAATTCCTCTAAGCTTTCTATCTGTTAACTTGAATGCATAAAAAAAAAAGCATCCTATGGTTGTCTAATCTCATTTAACAACTACAATGGAACTCTACCGAGCACTGTCATGCCTAAAACAACATAATACATTCGCACACAATATGGCAATGCAGAACTAGAATAACCATATTACTTCAGCAGCATATAGGCTCCCTAGATGATTTGAAGGTTAAAAGTAAAGCCAAGGCAGCATGACAAGTGGAATCGACAATAGATGGTGATTTTGCAGGAGATCATAAAACATATTTGAACTTAAGCAAAACAACCTGATATCTATCATTTTTCAGATTGAGGACAAACTTAAAAATAAGTAAATTTAAAGCACCACACATACTAGAACTTCACACAAAAAAAGAGCACTTCGAGTAGGCCTGAGTTTTATCATACAGTTTCTTAATTTCTAGCTCAAGATAACAGAAGTAGCATGTTAAAAGGAAAAGGAGACAAACGAATGTAAAAACGCAGCAAAAAACGAAGAAAAGACATTCCCTAAAAGGATTTGACCTTTTAGATGCTGTGGTTGGGGCAGGGAAGGAATTTGAAACACAAACAAATAATTAATAACCACTGATTCATGAACGAGGATAAATGCAGGCTAATAAAAAGCTTGTGCTTGCTCACTTTCATTGTAAAAACAAACAACAATCAAAAGAAGCATATCCAAAACCATTTCTGTTGTCAAAACCACACTAAACCTCAACATCAAATTCCGACAAAAAAAGAACATACCTAGGCTTGAAGAATCAAAATGTGAGAACACTTGGTGGCGTTGGCGCGCTACAACTCAAATCAAATTTCCTCTATCCCATTTTTCAAGTTGGATATATCAACAATCCCAATCCTCTCATTCTCCGGCAAAATTGACCAATTCGGTGACTGCACCGCACGCAGCCACAGGAAATCATCGACATTGGCCCAATTTCCGGTCTCCGCATCAAGACCGGCACCGCGAAGATCTTCTTCAATCCCTTGATAACTCAAACAATACGGCGCGAACCTCACGCCGTTACTGTCCTCGATTATGGGCCTGCTTCTAACCCTAAGGTAAAAATCACTTGTTCTGGCACCGTGAATCCGAATCTGATGCGACGCCATCACGAACACGCAACCCTCAACTTCCTCAATATGAATCGATCCCGTCACTGGCCCAACGTAAACCTTACAACCTTTCAATCTATGAACGAAAAGCGCCCTCACGCAACCAATTATCCTCACCTCGCAAGAATCGAGATCCGAAACATTGAATTCCCCAACCTCCTCCGAACCCCTAAACTCCCCAACCAAAACCTCACCCGCTTTGTTTCTGAAGCCAGGGGAGTCACGCGCCGCGAAGATCGTTTTATCCGAGTCGCGATTCGGAACAGGAGATTGTTTGGTTTCAGGAATAACGGAATCCTTATTGTCTTTCTTGGTAGCCTTGCTCTTGAACGCGAATTTCTTTTTCGGGATAAGCTCGGAGCTGAGATTGTCGAGGCTCTGTTTCAGATCGGAGATGGTTTTGAGGGAGGAACGGACGTCGTAAGAGGGTAAGAAATAAGAGTTTTCGGCGACGAGCTTTTCCAAATCGGAGATTGATTCGGAGATTTTCTGGAAGTGAGGTTTAAGCTGAGGTGGATCGGAAGAAATGGATCGGGATTGGGCGAGCTGAGACTCGATGGAGGTTTTTAAATTGGAGAAGCGTGAGAGGAAAGAGGAAGTGGATTCCAATGAAGAAGATTCGGAGTTAGAGTTATCTGAACGGGTTTGTTGGCGTTTGGAGAGACGCTCGAGCATTGATAAGTGCTTCTTCTGTAACGCTACTTCTCTATCGTCTGACACGTTTGGTTTCTCCATCTCATCATCCATTGATTTTGCTGCGAATTTCCAGAGAGGTGGAGAAATGAAAGTGAGAGAGTGGCACTGAGATTCTACAATTGTGCCCTGAGAATTCCTAATTGGTGAATTTTAAATTGAGATGAAGCTCCTTGTGTAATCAGAATTTTTACGGGAAGAGTGTTTGTCATTTTAAATGATAGAAAGTTATGTTATTTTAAGAAGATACAGACACAAAAAATTTGAATTTTAAATTAAAAAACCACTTACTTTCTCTGTCTATCTCTCTCCTAAATGACATAACTTATCATTTAAAATGACAAACACCAAACTCAATTTTTATTTATTTATTTTGGAACAATCAAATTTTTATTTAGCTAAAAATAACTTGTGTTGAGTTTTTTTTTTTAGAGTTAATTTAAATTTTAAAAATTAAATAAATGATAGTAGTTCATACGACGTATTAAAAGAAAATTTATAATTAGTTTGACATCCCGAGTAAAAAAAAAATGTTTTGCCGAATTTGAACGATACAAATCATAATTTTGATAACCATGTCTCTTTTCTTACAAAATACAAGGCACAGAACCTTACGGCAAAATGAAACATAGATTACTGCCAACGAAATATTATACACGAGATAACAACATCCACCAAAACAAGAAAATTATGCTTGAACAATAATTTAAACCACGAAACTCCGTAAGTTCAAATTTTATGTGTTAGCTTTTTCAGCTTTTGCAGCTTCAGCGGCTTCTGCAGCTGCTTCTTCCTCCCGAAGCTTCTTTAGAGACGGAGGTGGTCTTACAACAATGCTTCTCTTCCATTTTTTATCAAGCTTTCTGGACATTCTCTTACCGATACCCTCCTCAATCTCTCTTTCCCGCTTCACAGTAAGCATGCGAGCAATCTGCATTTATATTAATATTCACATCAACATTCGTCCAAATATAACAGAGACAGGAAACGCGTAGCATTCATGCAGACCCCAAAGAAGGATGTTACCTGTTAGTAAAGCCATGCAGGATAATTTGAAGTTATACGTATTAAGGGTAATACACTAATAAACTATAAATATATGAAACTGGACCAGCTTGGCCAGATTGCAATTCTCTCCTCTTTTTCTATTGCGCATGTCTTGTTTTCACCATGGTATCGAAGTATTCTAAATCCTAATGCGCTACTTCTTCACTAACTGTATCCTAGTGCCCCCTCCCCCTCTCACTTAATGGTAGATGGACTCTGATAGAATGACCATTTCAGTTCTCATAGAATAATATATACCATAAATTGGCTGCAGGTCTTGTTCTGATTAGGTTAGCTGTTAGCAACAATTTGTTTCTGAGTGAGCTCTCCCTTCAGAGACCAATTGAGTAAAGGCAGCATGCAATAAGAGATTTAATCCGTGTGCATCTGGAAACAAGAGTTCTCAAATCCTAACCTTTTTAAGGATGTAAGTTGTATACTACCAAACAACTAAAACAAACAAAGAGTTATCAAGCTGTCATATACAATGCTTGATATGGGAGATCATAAACCATAAGAAGGAGGAAAACAGTTTAAATGAATGAACATATATTAAAGCATGAAAAAGGTAATGGAATATATATATATATATATATATATATATATATATATATATATATTTGCATAATTTGCTGTAAAGAGAGCATAACAAGCGCACCCTTGATACTTCATGAACTAGAATATATGAGTACCAGAGTGCTTAATAAATTCTCTGTCAAACCATGGCCTCGCTGCAATGAAAGAGGCATCACATAGCATTTTTGTGAATCGGTGATGGCAGCCTGAATCGCAGCCAGATAGTGTACAAATCATGGCCTTTTGTGGCTGCTATGGTTAACAAACCACTAAATCCCCCTGAATCGCAGCCAGATAGTGTACAAATCATGGCCTTTGTGGCTGCTATGGTTAACAAACCATTAAATCCCGATCCCCCCCTTTTGTACGACTACCCCTCAGTATGCCCCATCAAAGTGAAAATAGGGTTAAAAATCCTTCATGCTTTGAAAAATGATGCACTAAGTTGCTGCCCTCCTTTGCACCACCCATCTTCCGCAAGCAATACATTCTCCAGCAAAGCACTTGCTTTTCCTGCAGCCCAACATGTTTTCTGGCTTCCCCTTAACCTCTGTTGAGTCTGCACCATCTTCCAAACTTTGTTCACAGTTCATACTAACGGGTCTTTATATTTGGCAGCAACTTCTTCCATGATTCCATTCTCTGTTTCTTTTTGCTGAGAGACACATCCTCTGTTCATCGTCTGTTATGTCTCTTTTTGTTGTTGATTATTAATTCCAGCCTCTCTTTGGTGCAGATGTGCCATCTTCTTGGTCACATCCAGCTCAACAGAGCACCTCAGCTTCAGTCTCTTCTTGCTGTTGACTTGTTAATCATGTCTTAAATTGATGGCGATCACCATAACTTTTGATTATTAATGACGACGTGTACTTAATTTTGGGTAAATTTTTTACATATTTTTTCCATTATCTTTGGTATAGCGACCATCTCGCTGTCCACTTCCCCCTATAACATTTTTGGGGTTGACCACTCCATACTGCCATCCGAATTGACAATTATGATGAGTACATGTGCTATATTGCTTAAATTACTACTGGGTTGGAGCCCTTGACCATTCCTTTCAATGTTCATTTCATTGTTGAGCCTGATAAAATTCCCTTTTGTTTTCAAATTTGACCCTAAGTTTAGTAGAATAGACACGGAGAGAAAAGGATTTAGGCTTCTTTTCCTTTCTTTTCTCTCCGGTTCCATTCTACCAAAGTAAGTCGGGGAGCTAACACTCAAGCTAATCATAGTAGCTAATTTCATCAATAAAGCAGAAAATCAATCTAAGCTCTCTCACAAAGCATAGTAACATTGTTAACCATGAACCTTTGGTAAAATTAAAGTTGCCTGAAAACAGAAAGAAGTTTAATAAAAAAACAGAACAAACAGCCACCATATCATAAGGCAATTTCCCAATATATATATGACAAGCTTACCCAGGCCAGAAGTAGCTAGTTGTTTTATTATGACAGCCATAGTTCAGTGGCAATTCTAAACATATCGGTAAGAGTCAAATAAAGGAAAAGCGATGAATTTTCAAGAGATATCGTTTACTATCACTACATTCCTTCCTAATTTCACAAACCCCCATTTCCCTAGCTTATTATTCAAAAACAAAAAAACTACTAATGTATTTGAATTAGCTTATTTTGTGTTCAAAAGAGCTTATAATCAAAATATACTGAGAGAACATTTTAACAAATTAACGAAAAAAAGAACGACTTCCCCCCAAAAATTAAGCAAATATCCTACAAAAATAAAGCAATAATTTAAGCAGAAAATATCAGTGAAGCAAAAATAAAAATAAAAAAGCGATACCATCTTGCGCATGCGACGGAATTCGCTGGGCTTGAACTCGTTACGAGCCGATTGCTGAAGGCGAAGCATTAAAAGCTCGCCCTTAAGGTCGATAACCTCGTCGTTGATTTGTTCAGTGGTTTTTTCTCTAATTTCTTTCATTTCCTGTTCTCTCTTAGCCATCATCACCACTGACACTGAAGCGGTGCGTTTCGTGGGTGGAATGGAGCATATTGATGGGTGACGGAGCTGAATGCCATTGAAGGAAGATTTAAATGGTAATGGTTTTGGAAGAAATGAAATGGTTGACGAAGAAGGCGAAGCAACAGAAAGGCCTAGCATTTTCCACGCACTCTCTTCTTTTCACTTATTAACAGCTAAGGGGACACACAGTGTTGCAGATAAGATCCTCGCACCCTTCGTCTTCTTTTATGGGTTACACTGTACCAGCCCATTTTTTTTATTTTTTATTTAAAAAAGGTCGCTTATCATTTATTTATATAAGTTTTATTTCTTTTAATTTTTATACAGTTCTTATAATTTTTATATAAATCTTTATAATTGTTTATTGTTAAAGCTTTTTTTATCTGAAAATAATATAGTTTAATAAATTATAATATAAAATCCTATCATTCATGAAAAATAAGATTCGTTTATTTTTAATAAATGTAAATTATAAGGATTAAAATCAAATAAATAAAAAACTATAATGACTAATATTTTACGATAGAAACTAAATATCAAATAAATAAAAATAATAGTACAAAAATCCGAAAGAAATGTTACATGGGCCAAAAACTAAATAAGTTCAAATGATAACTAAAGTTTGTTTTGTATTTTTTTCTAACAAGGGAAATTCTTAAAGAATTGAAAAATGTTAATATGTTTGATTCGTTAATTAGGGGAGCACAATAAATGAATTAAACTGAATTTTTTTAATTAATTTTAAAAACAGAACTAGTTTTATAAATTGGTTTCAAAATTAAAACGAATCAAAAGATTCGATTCAAAAAAAAAAAAAAATGGTTTTAAAAAGAAAGAACCGAGCTGGTTTATTTTAAATATTTTCCCCTCTCACCCACAATTGAAACACGTAATGAAATCCTCAATTCGCAAACCTTACTTCTGTGACCACAATTGTTTATTACTATTGTTTGGTTAAGGAGAAATTTTGTAATACTAGAAAAATGTAAATACTAGGAATATGTAAGAAAATTGAGTTAGATAGGAAAATTTTAAAATAAAGTTGTTTGGTTGGGCAAAATTTTACCAGAAAAATTGAGTGAAATTCCTGAATGTGTGTTTGGTTGAAAATAAAAATTTGATGAGGAAATAGATAGAATTTACGAAAGCAACCTTTTTTATAAAATTTTGTACCATTGCAACATATAAGAAGAGGGGTATTAATGTCATTGTATTCACCCACTTTTTCATTTCTCCGATTTTTGACAAGAATATCATGTCTCAAACAGCATTCATCAACAGTGTTTTTTACCTTCTTAACACACATTTCTACTTAGATAGACAAATGTGTTTGATGGATAAAAGTTATAAAATCTTTCAACCAAACAAGGAGAACAAAAATTGCCACATGCACTTAGACGGGAAAATTTTGAAAATCCCTCAACCAAACACTACTTAGGGTCTGGGTTTGATTAGTTTCGTGTTCAATTGTATTTTTTTCACTTTTCATTGGGTAAAGCTTTTTTTCTGCATTATTGCCACATCCAGTGTCAATTGTATTTTTAACATTTTAATCTAAACCTAGTTAGAATGCCTAATCGAAAAATAGTATTGTGAACCTATGTCTAATGCAAAGTTGTGTGAGCACTTCTCCTTTTAAATCTTTCTATTTCTTTTGGGAGTGTATCTTTTCTTGTATTATTTAACATGAAATGATAATGTAGGAAAATTATTATCATACAAAAATGAATTAATGGTGATAAAAAAAGAAAGAAAAATATTGAAATAAGTAATTATAAATGAGATTAGTATTTATCATTTTAAAGGATATATAATTATATCATTTTAGTCAAGACTATTATGCTTTATGATAAAAGAAACATAAATTATAATGTAAGAAAGTGAGAGATTTTTTTAACTAAAATTACTGTCTTTAAAAACAAATATTTTTCTTATTATAAAATTGTCACGGTTGATAGCACTATTCTACAATTATAATGGGTTTTCGTTTTATCCTTTAACATAACACAACAAACTTTCCTACACTCACAACATTTTGTGGGGCCCACACTTTTTAAAACAAAAAAAATAAATAAAAAATTAAGGCACGCAAAACGAATCTCTATAACATTACACAATCATTTTTCCTACAACATAACTCTTGTAAAACCCAATTATAATTAGGGAAATGTAAAAGTAATGTCGTAGGAAAAGTGGAAAACTACTGTAGCTACCTGCAGATACAATAAAATCATGGGGTCCACAGTTTTTTTTTTACTTTTTTTATCTCACTTTCTCTCTCCTTTGCTTAGTTTGTAGGAAAATTATTGTTGTTTCCATCGACATCATACAAACATAACCCTTATAATTATCTCATATATGAAACATGAAACTTGAAAGGATAAGTATTAAATTAGTCAAATCAAAGGATAGTCACAGAAAGCAACTAATATTTTGATGATAATTTTTTTTTTACTTATTATTCAAATTCAATTATGACTTAATTAGTGATTTGGTTGGAACAAAGAACAAATAAGTTAATATTAATATCAACAACATCTTTATTTTTTTCTAATCTTTATTTTGGGTTTTGCCCCATTGTTGTACTAAAAAAAACATCTTTATCTCAAAATAATTGTGGTAGATGTACAAAATCAAATTAGTATTTAAATAAATATATAAATTTAAATATTATGCATAAGTTATAAAAATAAGTGAGGAAGGTTATACTTACAACTTTTTTTTTACAACCTCTTACAACTATATCTTAACACCGTTGATTTCCGCCAATCAACGGTTATCATTTATTGTAAATTAATAATTAATTAATGAGTTTAATTTGTGAAAATTATAACCGTTGATTGACAAAAATCAACGGTATTAAAATATGATTGTAAGAAGTTGTAAATTAACAAGATTGTAAGTATAACCTTTCTCAAAATAATTAAAACAACAAATTATGTTAATGGGAAATATTATTATGTCTTGTAAAATAAATAAGCCGTATATAGCCTTTTGTTTTTTATGATGAAGAGACGTATATCCTTGAGCCTTAATACCAAATTTCTGACAAACTTTTTGAGAAGCCATGGGAATGTGAGAGCCCTTTGCTGCAAGTATTAATGCTTCCAAGGTAAAGCACGTCAACAATGTGTTGGGAAAATCAGTTCTCTCAAGCCCGGTTAAGCAGTCTTTGTACAGAAGTCAATCAACAAGATCCTGATCTCGGATCTCGGCAATACCTCGGCCTGAACTTCACCAGGTCAGGCAGCGCAGCGGAAAAACAAAACGAAAAATCACAAAACAGAAGAGAGAAGAAGAACACAACCAGATTTAACGTGGGAAAACCTTCTTCAATGAAGAAGTAAAAACCCACAGGACCTAGTCCAGATCAAAAATCCACTATGAAAATAATGGTTACAAAGAATCAAATACACCAATGTGGTGGTTAACTCAACCTCTCCAACAATGGTGATAATCAAACTATCGTAGAGATGTTTCACTCAAACTCTCTCTAGAGATCTCACAAATGCAAAGCATAAAGCTTTGCTCAAACAATCAAATAATTTTTCTCTCAAATTTGTTCTCTTAATCTGACCTAGCCTCCACCCACAACTAAGGAGTATATATATAGGAGGTTGAAATTAGGGTTAGAGTTTTTAGGAAACCCCTCAAATGGGCTTGGGCTTAGCATTGAAGGAGGAAGCCCAACAAATCTCCCCCTCTGACTTCAATGCGTCAGCTTCAGCATCAACCCGGTTCCTTCACAGTAGTCTTCAAATTTTCTTACTGGAACCGGCTTCGTCATCATACAAAGGTGGATCAATGGTAAGAGATGTGAGTGGTTATGTAATAGATTGTGTGTTTAATTCATCAATATATATATATATATATGTATATAATACAAATGGTTGAATTATAACAAGTTTTTTTATTTGTTAAATGATCAATAATTATGGTTGAATTATAACAAATGGTTGAATTCCAATCAGGTATGGATCCTTTTATATGAAAAAGAACATGATATGGTCATACGGAGAATTATAACAATACAAAGATGGATTAATGATAATATAAAAAGAGAAAAAAATATTGAAATAGTTAATTAACAAATCATAACTGTTGATTTATCTTTGTATGGTTATGATTTTTTCACATAATCATATCATGTTTTTTTTCACATGAGATGATCCATTTCCAAATCGATGTGGATCCTCTTACGTGAAAAAGAATATGATATGATCATATGTAAATTGTGGATCAATGGAAAATCACAATTTTGGTCAGTGTGCACCTTGACGAGTTCGAGCTCTCCACCTTCCACCACATCCCGGATCCAGTGATACCTCACATCAATATTCTTAGTGCGGGAGTGATAGGTCGAATTCTTCGCAAGATGGATTGCGCTTTGATTGTCACAACCCAGCTCGTACTTGTCTTGATCATGGCCGAGTTCAATGAGGAACTTCTTCATCCACAGCATCCATTTGCTTGCCTCAGTAGCGGCAATGTGCTCAGCCTCAGTTGTCAATAGTGCAACACACTTCTGAAGTCTTGATTGCTAAGAAACAGCTCCTCCGGCAAATCTCATCAAATATCCTGTAGTCGACTTCCTCGAGCCGGCGTCTCCCCCTAAATCAGAATCCGAGTAGCCTTGCAACTCGGCTTTGCCTTCTCCAAATCGGAGACATAAGTCGGTCGTACCTCGGAGGTACTTGAAGATCCACTTCACTGCTTCCCAGTGCTCTTTGCCGGGGTTTGACAAATACCGGCTTACCATTCCAACAGCATACGCCAAGTCAGGTCTAGTGCAAACCATTGCATACATCAAGCTTCTGACGGCGGATTGGTACGGGACCTTCATTATCTCATCTTTGTCTTCGTCAGATCTCGGACATTACTTCTGGTTCAGCTTTATGTGTCCGGCAAGGGGGGTGCTCACTGTTTTGGCTTTGTCCATGCTGAATCTCTTCAGAATCTTCTCAATGTATTTCTCTTGACTCAGCCACAGTAGCTTCTTATGTCTATCTCGGATAATCTTGATTCCGAGAATTTGCTTTGCAGGACCGAGGTCCTTCATTGCGAAGGACAAGCTCAACGCCTTTTTCAGGGCGGCTATCATCGATTTACCTTTCCCTACAATAAGCATGTCGTCAACATATAACAACAAAATCAGAAAATCTCCGGCCTCATACCTCTTCACAAATACGCAGTGGTCGGCTTCTGTCT